CCCCCCCCCCGCATGCTTATGATCATTTTATTGGTGTGCCCTAATGAGAATAATATTTTTTAATCTTTCTCTTTGGAATTCTGCAATGGAAACACAAGGGCAGCCCCTTCTCCTTTCTATACCCAGCAGAGACATTAATAATCTATCATAGCTTTTTTTTTCCATTGAGGTGATTATAGATTCACATGCAGTTATAAGAAATATTACAGACATCCTTTGTACATTTTTCCTACTTTCATCCAGTAGTGACATTTTGCAGTACTACAGCATGTCACAACCGGAATATTGACATTGATACAATCCACCAATCTTTTTCAGATTTCCCGTTTTACTTGTTCATGTGTGTGTATGTATGTGTATTCTATGCAATTTTATTACCTGTGTAAATTTGTATATATCTACCACTACAGTCAAGATACTGAATAGTTTCAGTACCACAAGGATTCCTCATGCTACCCTTTTATAATCATGCCCACCTACCCCCTCCGCAATCCCTGGCAACCACTAATCTATCCTCTGCTTCTAAAATGTTGTCATTTCAAAAATAGGAGTCATACACTATGCAACTTTTTAGGATCAGCATTTTCTTCTCAGCATAATCCCGTCCAAGTTTTTGTATGTATCAATAGTTTGGTCCTTTTCTTTATTCCATGGTGTGGAAGTACCACAGTTTAACCATTCACCTGTTAAAGAATACTTTAGCCCTGCCGGAGTAGCTTGGTGGGAGCGTTGGCTGTGCACTGAAAGGTTACCGGTTCAATTCCTGGTCAGGGCACATACCTGGGTTGTGGATTCCATCCGTGGTTGGGGCATGTACAAAAGGCAACCAATCGATGTTTCTCTCTCTCATGGGTCTTTCTTTCTCCCTTCCTCTCCCTAAGCATGTCCTCAGGTGAGGATTTAAAAAAAGAAAAAGAAAAAGAATGCTCTGTACTTTCACTTTGTACTCACTAGGAATTAATGAAGTAGCTCATTTTACTTGGTGTGCTGAGTGGTTTATATTCACAATTATTAAGCTTCTTAACCTTTCAGGTAGGGCACTGTTATTTCCATTTCATAGTTGAGGAAAATTGAGGCTCATAGTAAGTGATTTTCCCACTATCACATTCTATTAAATGGCAAAGAAGAGCCTGGAACCCAAGATAATAGGGCTCTTGCACTACACCAGGCTTTTCTCAGGCCTTTCTGAGGTTGCTGAGAAAAGGGTGTGGTGGAAGAGAGATGTTGGAGGTGGGAAGAACATTGGAGCAGCCTGGGTCGATTCAGGTCATCACAGCTAACTTTGGTTCATAGGTTAGAAGAGCAGCAGTGTCAAGGAGCGGGGACAATAAGGCCCGTGTCCTTGAGATTGCTTCCACTTTGCCAGGGAAGAACAAGGCTAAAGTGGGTGGAGCCCATAGGCAATCTGCCCACAGACCTGCGGCCTGGAATGGGAAAGGGAGGATCCAACCTTTGGGTTGTCTATCAGAGAAGGAGTGGGCAAGATCCTCCTTGGAAACATGAAGTTGACTGTATCTCTGACAGGTCTAAGGAAATTGAGGCCCATGACAAAGAGTGAGCTCTCTATTCTGGAGGGGTAAGAGGTGTAGCACCTTTTTATTTGGTTGCGGTGAAGGGAACTACAGTTCACTTACACATGTACGACACCTTGGGCAGGCTCTGTGTCTGGAACATGGTACAGGGGGAAGCTAAAATGCCAGTCCAATGTTTAGTTCTGACTTAAATATTGCTCTTCCCCTCCAACTAAGTCAGAAGGAGTTGCAGAAATCAGTTGGTCTGTCCCTCAGCCTCTGGGCACTGGTTGAAGCTGACAGGTGGAAACCTAGAGTTGGCCCAGACATGATGGTGGTAGAGGTGCCAACTTGCAGGAGAGAAGGTTTGGCTCCTCTCTTGGGAGCTGTGTCTGGCCAAAGGCTGCCTCCTCCCCCCTCTTGCTGAAACCTGCTCTTTTATAGTTGATGTTACCATTGCTCCCTCCCTTGGCCTATTCCAGTGACAATTTTCCCTATCTACTTATGACTCCAGAGCCATATCACTCCATCTCCCTTGGCCAGTCAAAAATGGCACATGTTGTCCCAGTGGCACCACCATCCTTACCAAGTAATTCCAGCCATGAGAGGAAACACAGAGACCATCAGGATTTATAGGGACTGCATTGCATTGTTGAAACTACCAGAGATATCTATTCTGCATCTCTGTCTTTTGGTTGGAAGTTCTTAGACACAAGGGAGACCTCTCTTTACCAGCTCTTATCCCCGCTGAGATTTCCTAAGTGTCCTGACTGTGGCTAAGAGACAGCTATCTTCCCTTGGAACCGAGATGGTTTGCAACCGAAAATCTCAGGACCCCTGCTTACTCCCTTTCCTTGGATGCCTCTCTGTTCCAGGTCCCCTTCCCTGCTGCCACCACTCCCTTCCCATTCCTCCTTTCTCCTCTCTCTCTCTCTTTCTCTCTCTCTCAGCAAGTTTTTTATGTGATTACAGGCACTGCATGGTAATTAGTGCTAAACTCATTTGCACAACTACAGTTAATTGGCTACAACAATTAATTAATGTGTTGGAAATTTGGCACTGGAAAAAAAAAGTTTGTCATCAAAATAAGAGCAAAAAATTGTAGAGTAGGGTACCCATAAAAATTGAGGGCAGGCTTCAAAAGCCCAGCTGGGCCCCAAACTTCCGGCTGGCCTCAGATGCCTTCCCACTCTCAACTTCAGCATTTTCCTCTCTCCTCTCATTTTTTTCCTCTCCCTTTCCCCCTCTATTTCTCTTCCCTCTCTCTCTCTTTCTCTCTCTACAACTTAAGCAAACTCATTTCCCTGATAAAATATAGCATGACTAATGGCTAGAGCATGTAAAAATCATTGGGAAAATGTCCTTGGAAGACGAATGCATTTTCAGCAGAATAATTAACTTAATTAACAAATTCACATGCATATTCATCAGGCTATTAATGTCTTCTCGGCTCAGCTTGATGAACATTGCGGTAATAACCATCTCATTTACATACTGCATTCTACTGCGATCCAAAACAGAGACAACATACAGGCGTATACACACACACATACACTTGCACAAATACACACAACATGCCTGGGCTGCTCTGATTTCCAGGTTGGCTAGGAGCGTGTGTGCGTGTGTGTGCGCGTGTGTGTGCATGCGTGTGTGTGTGTGTGTGTGCACGTGTGTGTGCAGGAACCCCGACGGCGCGGTGTGATCTTTAGAGGGTCATGAGTGAGGGGCTGGGGTGTCCATATGTGGATGTCTAAGAGAACTTTAATTCATTCATTCTCTCCCTCGCCCTCTCCCTCCCTCCCTCGCTCTCTCTGCCTTTTTCCTTGTTTCCTTTCCTCTGTGTCATTTTCTTCTCCACCCCCCC